AGGCCAGAAGAGGACACCAGATCTCATTACAGATGGCTGTGAGCCACCATGTGGTTGCTGGGAATTGAACTCAGGACCTCTGGAAGAGCAGCCAGTGAGTGCTCTTAACCTCTGAGCCATCTCTCCAGCCCCCATTAAAACACAACTGTTGCTCATCTGGAGTTTCCTGTGTGAGGGGCAGCTCCTGAGGACCCCTCACACAAAGTCACTTTGTTGGTGCAATCACACCATCACATCTTCTTTTTTAAATATTTATTTATTTATTCATTATATATACAGTATTCTCAGTACTCTACCTGCAGGTCAGAAGAGGGCACCAGACCTCATTACAGATGGTTGTGAACCACCATGTGGTTGCTGGGAATTGAACTCAGGACCTTTGGAAGAGCAGGCGGTGCTCTTAACCACTGAGCCATCTCTCCAGCCCCCATAACTGGTATCTTTAAGGAATACAACTATCTCCACAAATTTTTACCTTGAAATACAAAGTCTGTAGCTATTACCGTCAAAGTAAACTTCACTTTAGTTTGACTATTGCCATTCCTTGCTCTATTGGTTTTTAAATGGGAATACAAAATAATGGCTTTTATAGTGACATCTTCACACACATATCACTGTGCCTGCTCCCTCCCCCCGCTGCACTCCCCTTTATCTCTGTCACTGGTGTTCCTCTTCCTTGAAGTAGACCCCCTTCTGTTTTCATTTCACACATAAGGAAACACACGTAGCTGAAGCTACACTGTATACGTACATTCACATATATGCACGAGAGAATACATGTGCCTTGCTTCCCACCACTGTTCCCCTTGTTTTCCTGTCTCTGCCTTAAGCCATTTCATTCCAATCTGTGCAAGGCACTGAAGAGATATCGCGGGAGACAAAGGCAGGCCTATGCTCTGCTCTCCAAGAACCCAGGTTTGGAGAAAAGGCTCACAGCACGAGGCTATTCCATCATGGGGTCACAGCGCCATGGAGTGAAAAAGAACACAGAAATATGAAAATACCAATAAAAGACAGATGACTTTTCAGTGAGGGAAAACTTCCTCCAAATATCTTGGTTGAGAATGAGAAAAATATGGCCAACTGAATAGTCAGACAGGTATTCCATGTGCAAAGGAATAATACGTAAAGTTCCTAAAGACAAAGCAGTATGGCACAATCCCTGGGAGGATCACAGGTACGTAATGGAGATGAGGTAGGAAAGTGGTTCGCATGGCTACACATGGTCTGAACGGTTCCTTCTCTGTACCATAGATTTTGTTATACCAATGTCTGACAGCTTATTGCCCAAGCCCCCATCGATGACACTCTCCAACACCACTTGGTACTGTAAATATAAGTAAAAATGGAGTTTCATTTTGTCAGTAGTATCAGTCAGAAACTAAGAAGAGTAAAGTAAAGAAGAGATGAGATAGGACCAAGGGCTGTGTTTGCAAGCACCATTCAGGATGGTCTTTGGGAAACTGGAAAACCAATAGGTAGTTGACTTTGTTAGAGTTACTATAATGCTATAATGAAACACCATGACCAAAAGAAACTTGGAGAGCAAATGGCTTATTTGGCTCCACACTGCTATTCATCATCCAAGGAAGTCAGACAGGAACTCAAACAGGGCAGGGACCTGGAGGCAGGAGCTGATGCAGAGGCAATGGAGGAGTGCTGCTTACTGGTTTGTTCCTTACAGCCTGCTCAACCTGTTTTCTTATAGGACTCAGGACCGCCAGTCCAGGGGTGTTATCACCCACAATGGACTGGGCCCTTCCCCATCAATTACTGATTAAGAAAATGCCTTACAGGCTTGCCAATAACCAGATCTTATGGAGATATTTCTCAATTAAGGTTTCCTCCTCTCGGATGACTTTAACTTGTATCAAGTTGACATAAGATTGCCCGGCACAGTGGCTTATTTATACAAGTGTACATTTAAGGAAGTTACAGGACAATAGGAAGTCTAGTCTTTAATGGGATCCTTAAATACCTAAAGAGACTGAAGTTGATAACACAGAGAAACTCTTCTTATCTCTCCCTATTATTTATTTCTTAATCTTCACAGTTCTCAGAAATCTCAAGATCTTTACATTTTCCTCCCAAAAGAAACTTCACTCTATCTACAATGTTTTGTTACCACATCTTAGTTCCTTAAGCCCTTCTCTCCGCTCATAGATCTCACTCTCAACATCAGAGACTCTTACATTTAATTTTCTATGCTCGATTTAAGTCAGTCACCCTTCCCTTCCCTGTCTCCCTTTCTTTTCCTTTCCTCTGTCTCTCTATTCCCTCTTATCCTAGAGCTTAAACCTCATGCTTCAAGCATACCAAGAAAGTACTCGAAGCTGTGCATGTAGACTTCACTTAAGTATTTATACATAGATTTTATCCTTTCTCGTCTCAGCTGACTAAACCCTATGCACCTAAAACAAATGGGCTACTTTGTCCCAGGAGAGGGACAGTAGAATGCTCTGAATTTTCATGTTAAGTATTTGGGACCATTTACAAGAACTAAAGTATATAATGATCAGAAAAGGAGAGGGAGCTGGTAGCCTAGTGAAGTAGCAGGTGTAGAAGTCAGGAAACACAGATCTAGGCACAGAGCCTCACAGCTGACTACATAAGGATGAAGACAGAGATGGCTAGGGTTTTGAGACTGCTTTTTAGTTGATCTCTAGAACAGTCTAGTAGTGTCCATTAGCCACCACAGCTGGGGAATGAAAGAGAGGGGTGTATTCAAAATACGGACAAAGGCGATGACAAATCTGGCTTGCTGGTCTGGAGAGAGCATCGTGATGCTCGGTCACGTAGGAAACACTGCTTTAATTTGATGTTCGATGCCAGCATCGCCACAGCTATGTGCTGTAAAATGGTCCTTACGGACACTCCGAGAGACTAGTTATACATGACTGATTTCTAAAGCAAACAAACCCACTTTGTGTTGTTTCCGCCCCCGCGGCACCCTCCGCCCCAACACACACATTTTTCTCTCTTTTCTGAGGAGATTGCAGACCTCTGCTGAAGGTTTTCTCCAGGGATAATGTTTGAAGAAATGTACATTAAAATCGTTTAGGGGTTATCATCACAGGATGATTGAGACAGAAGGAACTTGAAGGAGATGGAGGTGGTTGTCATCTGCATAGGACTGTGAGTTGAAGCGCTGCTCAGGAATGATTCACTTCCGGGGCATGAAAAAAGGAAGGGACATTGGAAGTCATGCTAGACAGGACCTCTGACACCTTAGAGACAGAGATAGTACAGAGAAAGGAATCTAGAAAGACACTCAGTTGTGATGGCAAAATCATGAAGTATAAAAAGTAATCTAATCTTTTAAAAGATTCAGTCTTTTAACCTGAGAAATAATGCCTGGTTTGTTAGGTTATTTAAGAATTTGAAACTGATACGACAGGAAGACACACGACCAACTCAATAAATACTATTATTAATAGTTTCCATTTAAACTTTCTTGAGGAATTAAAGAAAAGCCTTGATGAATATAAACTGGGATGTTGAATGCTAGCTACCAGACAACGTACTTTAGAAAATTCTAGAAACCCTATACAAAAGAACAGCCTCAATTCAGGGGAACCTAGGACAATAGCAGCACAGTGGGGGCCAACATGCTGGAGTTAGAAGACAGAAGTAGATACCACAGGGGTTTCCCCAAGACACCAGTGACAGGGAGCTTTAAAATCAGTCCATCGTGGGGAGACTTGGAAGATAGAATCTGGGGAGTGCATCTGGCTTCCTCCTTGTGCAGGGATGTAGGTGACAGATTAATAGGAGCCTTCTTCCTCCCTCTACAGTCATTATCTGGCACCCTCAGGGCAGGCCTGCGGAGGAACAGCTGTGACAGAAGGTTGGAGCTAGTCTGCCACGCTTCTGTTAGAACGGTCACAAAGCCACAAAGGCCGGCACATTCATTTCCAGTATGGGTCACATCAGTACCCAAGATCAGAAAAAGACGAAGTTTAAGGATTAAAAGCTCTGTCCTAACACATAAGACTTTTTTTTTCCTTCAGCACAGAAAGATGAGACAATTAAAAAGATTTTCCAAAGTCAGCTCGCCTCACATCGTCAATGGGTGGTCACGAGAATTTCTTATCTTACAGTCTTTTCTGCTTGCACTCTGAGCTGGTCGGTGGGGGGGGGAACTTGGTGCTATTGAGAAGAGCCATTTGGCAGGGCTGGTCAGTATCCTTTATCAAGGGTAGCCCGTGCAGCCCAGGTGGACGCGGGGACGACCAGAAGCACCACAAGCTCTGGAGACGTGCTGAAGGTGTCAGGGGCGTTAATATTCTCAGGAGCAGCTAGGCGCCTGATTCGTGGACACAAGAGCGCATGGGTATCCTGTCTGTTGGTGCTTGTTGCTTCTCAGCACAGACATGGGCTAAAAGGCAAATGAATTTTACTCCAGAAATTCATGACATCTTCATCAAGACGTTAAGGGAGCAATTGGACACCCATGGACTCTGATGTAGGGTTGCTTTCCCAAACAGCGCAAGACTGGGGCAAACGAGTACACCTAGCATGTGCGGCTCAAGACTGGCTCAGAGGTTGGGAACATTGGTATCAATGGCTTCTACACTCACCTGAGGCCTAAGCACCCAGCAAAGAGTGTCTCTGGGTGGCTTGCCTTTGAAACTTTCCAGGGGTCTCTGGCATGAACTAAAGTTTCAGGATCTTTGTCTCAAATCCAAGTTCTATGTGTCATTACTGATGGCCACTTCAGTCTCTCCTCTGGCTTTCCTGGCATCCTTTTCTGTGTTTGGTGTTCTTTCGATGCACCATCAGATGGTTAAGCCATCTGACCATATAGAAAAACACATTTTTTTTTTTCCATTTTAAGCATCTGCAAGAACATGAACTTTACTTATGGAGAATTTATAAAAATACTGCCTTTTAGCTTTACAGTGGATAAACCTTATTTATGACTTCTGACAAATTTCTGTTCATCTTCAGGATTACAGTGCTATGAATCATGGGATCGAAAAAAGGAGGGAAACACTTACGTGGGCTGTAAGTTTCTCCTGGGAAGCTTTTACTTCAGCCTGCAACTTCTCAATGCACTGGAAAAGAGAAGGGTTTAACCAGAGCCAGAAAGACAAATATCATATGTACTCACTCCTAAGTGGCTTTTAGACATAAATCAAAGAAAAACCTGCCTAGAATTCATAACCCCAGAGCCTAGACAACCAAGAGGACCCTAAGAGAGATATACATGGATCCAATCTACCTGAGAGGTAGAAAAAGACAAGATCTCCTGAGTAAATTGGGGGCATGGGGATCATGGGAGAAGGTAGAAGAGAAGGGGGAGGAAGGTAGGGGAGCAGAGAAAAACATATTGCTCAACAAAAACAATTGTAAAGAAGAGAAAAGGGTTTAGAGAGCAAGGCCTAACTTCCTAGTCCAAGTATCCCAGAGGCAAATGTGTGCCTGCTCTCAATCTACTGACTGACAGCATCCAGGTCTTAGCTAGATGTTGAAGCCATCTGTACTAAGGAGGTCATTTCTCTGTCTATGAGGAAGCCTGAGGGCAAAGCACAAGATAGGTTAACTGGTAGGAAATGTTCGGGAAAAAATGATAGCTTGAGTGATGCGGTTAGTGTTAGTGAGCGTGTGTGTGTGTGTGTGTGTGTGTGTGTGTGTGTATCTGTGAACATGCTCATATGCATATTCACACAAAAGCATATCCATAGGCATAACACGCAAACTCTTCAGACTGAACAAAAGTCTAATTTATAGAATGACACATACATATTTTTTCAGAGATCCATCACTTTATAGATTAAAAATATGTGTGCTGGATAGTTTTGTGTCAACTTGACACAAGCTAGAGTTATTTGAAAGGAGGAACCCTTAGCTGAGAAAATGTCTCCCTAAGAATTAGCTGTTGAACATTTTCTTAATTAATGATTGATGGAGGAAGGCCCAGTTGCATTCTGGGTAGTGCCATCCCTGGGTTGGTGGTTATGGGTTATAAAAGCAGGTTGGGAAAGAAAGGCATGGGGAGCAAGCCATTAAGCAAATACTCCTCCATGGCCTCTGTGTTGACTCCTGCCTCCAGAATCTTGCCCTGTTTGAGTTCCTGTCCTGACTTCCTTCAGTGATAAACAGCAATGCTGAAGTGTAAGTCAAATAAACCCTTTCCTCCCCAACTTTCTTTTGGTCATGGTGTTTATCACAGCATTAGTAACCCTAACTAAGACAATATGTCAAATTTTAAAATCTGTTATTAACTAAACAGAAATAAGTCCTTCATCAATTCCAACCCTGAAAACAAAGAAATATGTGTGCAGTTGACACCATGTACAAAATATCTCCCCAAAAGATACATTATCAAAAATTTATAAAATCTTCAAGTGTAACAAAAGTTTTAATCTGTGAATGTGGATCAGGAGAAGAAGTTACCTTCACCAAATATAAATGTTGTATTCACCCCCATAAACTCAAATGTGAGCTTAATTTCTTTTTGCAGTGTTAAGGATGGAACTCAGACCCATGTTCATGCTAAGCAAATCTCTACTGTTACCAGACATTTTAGGTTAAAGGCTTGAGCGCTGGCACTCCCAATAAGCTAGGCCCAGGCCCCTATTCCAATAAAACAATTTAGAGAAATATTGGTAAAGAAAAGAGAAAGGAGATGTTTACTTAATATGACCTTACTGGGAAGAGGAACAAATATAGGAGCCCAGTGGCCAAGTCCAAGTTTTGGAATACCGACATGAAACTAGAAGGCAAGAACTCTGCACAGTTAAGCGCTGGGTCAAGATGTGACCCGAACGGCACTGGTCCATCATTTCCTCAGCTGGCTCCGTCCCACATGGTGGTCATCTACTACATTAATTTGTTCATTTTAGAATGCAGCCTCACCCTTGTGGATAATTGCCCTCATCTGGGGCAGAGGTGCTTTTCCTCCCAGGGTTTGGTCTTCTGGAATCTTGGGTAACTATAGATTTAGACAATGTCTTATCTCTATGTCTCCAGCCAGAAACGGGCAGAGAATGAAGAACGCAGGTGTCAGGTTCCCCCTATGCTCTCAGTTAGTCAACACTTTTAGTAAAAACTGCTTCTAAGTGTCTGTTTCATCACCACCGAGTTACAGGCCCAGCCCATTAAGTGGGGACCTTCAGCCCAGTCATGGCTTCCAGACTTGTCACATACAGTTAAGTCCCTCCCCAAACACGCCCTTTCCTCCACATACCTTGTCTTTCTCAAGCACCATGTGTTCATAGGACTCTCCCCCAGCACTCTTCTGGCTCACAGCCTGCAGTTTTTTTTCCAGCAAGGAAACTTTCTCAAGCAGCTGTAGTTTTGCTTCTTCGGAGGCTGTAAGCTAAAGACATGTTTTCGTAAGGACGCCAAGTTCGGTGGTATTTTAAAGGCTTCCTTTAAAAGGTCAGTTTAGGAAGGAATTGTCTCCCACTAATGTCTGCTTACACTTTCCTGTCGAGAGATTCTGTGGCATTCTCTACACATGACAAATGAGAGAAAGAAGGGAATATTGGTGACTTCATCATTTCTAACGGGGAAGAGAGGTAAGAGCACAGAAACAATGCAAGGAGACATTTCTGTCTGTTGGGGTCTTAGTGCTCACCCCTGCTGTGTTCTGAGGTCCTACAGCTGGCACAATCGCCCCTGAAACCCATCTTGCGGTCATGTATAATTCTTGAAACTTAACTCTTGGGAGTCTACAGCACGTCACAAAGTGTGCGGGTTCTCACTCACATTAACACTTAACCATAAGAGCAACAGTGTTGGAGGCAGGAGGAAATGTTGGACCTTAAGTGTTTCAAGTTAAACTCTGATTAAACCAGATCTATGCAAAAGCACAACCAAAATATCCCTTTGTGTTTGTTCTACTATTCGGATCCCCCTTGAAGGAGGGGGCTGTGATGACCCTAGTCCCTCGCTGGGTCTCCTGACTGCTTCCTTATTTCTCTCACACAGCTCCCTGTGCCGTCTCTGAGCTCAGCAGCACTCCTGAGGGTCACCGGAAAGTTTGGAGAATTTTGTGTTCACTGCCACTTCTTGGTGATCTTCAAAGCATAGATTACCTCAGAGAATCTCTTTCTCATTGCCCTGGAAGTTTCTGCAAAAGTTTTCGTTTTTTTTGTTCGTTTGTTTGGTTTGGTTTTTTGTCCTGAAAAATCAGTATTTTTGGATAGTTCATGGTATGAAGAAGGCAATCTGAAAGCAAACACGTGCACACCTTATACCACACGCTGGTTCTCCCAGCCTATCTACACAATCATTCATTTAAGAAGTCTACTAGCTGTCACTCAATGCAATCACCATGCCATGTGCTGGAGTGCCCTAGGTGTATACCCAGGACCAGAGGAAGTGCACATCCCAATAACTCTTGACGATACCTCTCCATTTGAAGTGTTTGGGGAGGCCCAATGTGCTTTTATGGCCACTAGCACAGCCAAGACTCGGGCACATGGTGGCTTGTGAATGTTGTCGGGCTTCTCTGGGCCCACTTCAGTCTTACTAGAGTAGAGTAGCTCATGATGTGGACTCTGAGGCAAAGCCTGTAGGGCAAAATCTCAGCTTTGCTAAGTGATTTGGTCAACTTGCTCAGCCTCTCTGGGGTTCATTTCCTTTTACACTGACAGTAAGGGAATGTTACTTAATATGCAGGATTTAAAAACTGTGTGCATTTATGAAAGAGCAACACTCAGAAGGATATCTGCAACATACTAAGTACTGAGTATTATTATTCTCATTGTTCTTCTGCCTCCTCTAATCACAGTAAGCATTCATTTGAGTTTTGAGAGCATTTTTATTATTCTTTGAGAATTTCTGACCCTGGATTTTGATCATATTTATTTCCTCCCCATCTCCTCCTAGATCCACACCTGTTTCTATGCCCCGTGCAATTTTGTGTCCCCATTCATTATTTTTTAAAATACCCATTAAGTCCAGCTGGTGTTGCTTATATACTCTTGAGAATGCGACCTTCCAAGGGAGCTTGCTGGACAGGCAATGGGTCACACCCTTAAGGACAACTAGCTTTCCTCCCCAGAAGCTAACTCCTTAGGTAGCGATGGGATTTCATGCCCCACCCCCAACATGCGGGGATTTCATCTGGCTTGAGCTTGGACATGTTTTGTTCTTGCAATCTTAACTGTTGGGAGTTCATATGTGTAACTGCCTTATTGAACCTAGAAAACATAGCTTCCCTGTGGTCCTCACTTGCCACTGGCCCTTAACATTTTTTCTGTCCCTTCTTCTATAATGATCTGAATCATAGAAGGAAGGGTGAGTTTTATCTCTCTCTCTTTCACTAAATTGTATTTGGTTTGTTAATTTATTTCCATTATCAGAGAAAACTTTTATTTATGGAACTTTTTTTCTCTCAGTTGGGTGCATTTTACTTCCATATCCTTTCTGATCTGTAAAATACCTGGTCACTACTTGATTGCTTTTTTTGTTGACCTATTTTCTATTTAGAGAGTCTTTATCCCTTTATTCAACAAGTATTTATTTATTCATTTGCTGCAGAAATAAGTTTGTTGTTATATGTAAAAAATAGAAGATAGCCAGGCGGTGGTGGTGCACACCTCTAATCCCAGCACTCAGGGGGCAGAAGCAGATGGATCTCTGTGAGTTCAAGACCAGCCTGCACTACAATAGTTAGTTCCAGGACAGGCTCCAAAGCTACATAGAAACCCTATCTTGAAAGGGAGAGAGAGAGAGAGAGAGAGAGAGAGAGAGAGAGAGATTAAAAATGAAAACATTAGAAAACATTATTCTTACCTTCAAAAAAATCCTTCACATTTTAACTAGAAAGGTAGAGAATTATTACATAGCAGACAGTCTGCAAAACCTTTTATTTTTAATTTATTCCAGCATCTCAGTTTAATTTCTCAAGAAGTTTATGCTGCTGTTATTCCCATTTTACAGACTGTTGGTTAACTTTCAACGAGGCTGAACTTTGATTTGGGGTGTTCTCTTTTAGTTTTTCAAGACAGGGTTTCTCTGTAGCTTTGGAGCCTGTCCTGGAACTAGCTCTTGTAGACCAGGGTGATCTGGGGTGTTCTCTTATCTACCAGAAATGAACATGTTGTACCCATCCTACAAACATCAGGTGAACCAGGCACATGAGAAGTCAGAGATAAACCACACCCAAAGTGCCATTTTGATAGTAAAGAAAAGATGGTGATGTGTTTTAGAGTCATATTTAAGTCACGCTAAAATTAGAGGATGAAAGATGGGAGGCTCCCAGAATTAATTTTGATACAAATAACAATAGAGTTGACAAAATTGCCAGAGTCAGTCACTGAAGTCTTTAAGAGTCCAAAAGAACACTTTCTGGTGTTCTTGATGAAGAAAAATATCAATATCCAAGGAAATCTCTATTATCACAGGCTAACTATAGAAATAGTAATGGGACATCAGTGACCATATATGACAAGAAATACAGTCTCTACAAACTGCTGCCAAGAAAAAAATCACAATGGATAACTGTCTTCAGTGGGTGATATCACCTGTTCTGAGGGGTGAAAGGTAGGATCTGGATCTAGAATTTCTACATTGCAAGAGTTGACATGTCCAGTTCTCAATAAAACTACTATCCTTTGAAATACAATATGCCTTTTTTTCTTTAGAGGAAACAAAAAAACTCTTTTGTAACAGCAATCTTTGTTTGGAATCCTAGAGAATGAATCCTAGACTTTTAAACAACAACCACAAAAAATCTTATGATTTTAAATGTGTTCAGAGTTAAGAACAAAACAAACCAACCAAACAAACAAGAGTAAGGGAAATCGGAAGAATGATGTGTAAGTAAACAGAAAATAGCAAAAAGATTATAAAAGGGAGCCAAATAGAAATTCAAGAGTTCCTTGAAAAAGTCACTAGGAAGGTGTGGTACAAGCTAGAAGATTGTCAGAAAGCCAGAAGAGAGTTCTTTCTATCAACTCAAATGGGCATAACATTTACCACAGTCTACAAGTTTAAAACGATGAGCACTATGAGACTATATGAATCCCAGGTCTCTTCTATTTCCTATAAGAAAATCTTGTCACTCTAGATACTTCAGCTTCATGATTATCTCCAGGTCTAATTATTGCCCCAAGGTTTAGGACCTCAACATATACACTCGGGACACATTCAGTCTTTAGCTTTCCACATAGAGCTGTCCCCAAATTCATGTTGTGCTTACACACAAATACATCTAATCTCAACAGCCCCCAAAGTCTTAGCTTACACAACCTCCAACATCAAAGTTTAAAGTCCAAGTTCCATCAGAGTGTTCTCTAAATCACATATCAGCAAGACACTTCCTCTAGAGGTATTGCTATTTTCCAGCTGGGAAACCAAACAATTCATATGCTTCCAAACCACAGTGATCAAATAGGCATAAGATGAGCATTCCCATTCCACAAAGGAGACATGAGGAAAGAAAGATGATTTTATGCACCTATAAGGCTTGAGAAGTATCCTCTGATGTGGTGTGGTTTTGTTGGCCAGTGCTTGATCCTTTATAGCCCTGCACAGCATGGGTCATATCCCCAGGACTCTGCTGAATAGGAGTTTCATCTCTAGGGCTCTGCTGCATAGGAGCCAGACTTCCAGAATTCTACCACATGAGTCTTGCTCCTAGGGTTCTGCCATGCTTGCGTGTACCTCCCTGGTTTCAGGTGCCACCCACCACCATGGCTTGTTTGGCTCATTGAAACTAAGGACAACCATTTACATGTGCATAACTGACTCTCTTCTGGAACCTAAGAAACCAGAAACCCTCCCTTCATCCCATCCCATCTCTAGCTCTTGTAGTGGAAATTCTTGGTGTTCCTGTTAAGGGTGCCGAGTAGGTCTGTGGCTCACACTCATAACTATGTCCTTAAAAGACAGTTCTGTGGCAATACCCTTGGCATTCTCTTCAGTGTAAATAAGCTGAGAACTTTCTGTTATTTGCTTAGCAATTATATTTTTCAACTTGCTTATCTTCTTATCTGCTCCTTAAATATTTGAAATTCTTTTCAGCCAAATGTCCAGCTTCATCACTGACATGTCTTATGTTTCTCACATCAGGCTGTGAACACATTCAGCCAGGATCATCTTTCCTTCAGTGTAAATACTGTGTCTGTCTTTTCTTTCTGTGACCTTGTTAGATTCCTTACTAATATTCATAGGATGCATCTTCTCTGGGAAGATGGAGGCTTTCTCTTTAGCTCCCTGCCTTTCTTTCTCAGTTCTCATCAGATTACCCCTGGTAATCATTTCACAGTAATAACTACACCCCCTCCAGGACAGGGATCTAACTGAACCTTGTATACATCAGGCAAGTGCTTGGTCCCTGATCTATGCCCTTCCAATGTAATGTCC